CTGACTTTTTTTTTTTTGAGTTGGAGTCTTACTCTGTCGCCCAAACTGGAGTGCAGTGGCCGCTCCCGGCCACCGCAGCCTCGACCTGCTGGGCTTTGGCGATCCTTCTGCCTCAGCCTTCCAAGTAGCCGGAATTACAGGCATGCGCTACCACACCCGGCTGATTTTTAAAAAATTTATTGTAGAGATGAGGTCTCGCTGCCCAGGCGGGTCTCGAACCCGTGGACTCAGGCAATCCACTCACCTCAGCCTCCCAAAGGCGTGGGATTACAGGCTGAGCCACCGAGCCCGGCGGTAGCTGACTTATTAGCACACCCATGATCATCAAATGGGCAACGGATTTTCCTGATTAGTCTTGTTATTTTTTCCTTTGTTTACTACTTCAAACAGCACAGATAAATTTGCAATTCACCTTCCATTAAATAGCTAATGAAAGCTACTAGTGTGATACTTTCATCCAGTCCCCAGGCCCTTGGTCACTGGCTGCAAGACATGAAGAGGTCTGTGGAATTGGAGGATCGCTGCTGGTGCCACAGAGACTGGCTAAAGGCAGGTGTGCTTAGGCTGCCACCTCCACCAGGTTGGCATGCAGGAGATGAGACCACAGTGCCAAAGATTACAAAGGATACCCAAGGAGCAGAGCACCTGGACTCCCTGCCGAGTCATACCTCACACTCATCACGTTTTAACATGTGTGTTTCCCTTGCCCCAGCAGCTCCTTTTTCAGAAACTCAGTCGGAGATAACTGATCAAGTACGTGAAGGTGGACCATGCAAGCTGGTCACCACAGCATTCTAAATCATAGCAAAGAACCGAATCCACAGTATACAGTATACAACTACATAATACATGCATCCAGAAGCCTACTGTGCCACTAACAAGGTCAAAACTGGTCCAGCTGTTGGCATGGGGAGAAATCCTCTAAATATGGTATTATGCTAAAATTTAATATCCAACCAGCCAAAAGACCAGGCCACACACAGCATACATAATATGATCCTATTAACACTGACAATTATTTTATAATTTTATCACATACGCATGGATATACAGCAAGATTCTCAGGAGGATATTCACCAAATTTATCTTGGGATAAATTTGCCTCTAGACAGTGGGAGATTTTTATAATTTTCTTTATTTTTGTATTGCTAATGTTTGCAATGAGTGTGTTTGTTAGCTTTATAATCATAAGATCCAGTAATTCCAAATTTTTTTGTGTGAGTAGTAATTGTAGTACAATTACTACTCGGCAGCTACTCATTCTTACCACAAATGAATCTGGAAAGCATCAGAGAACCGAAAGAAGTCAGACACACCAAAGTGCACATATGGTATGATAATACTTTATGATTCCAAGTCTACAAAAGTCAAAACAGGCAAAATAATAGAATTGTGACAGAAATCAAGATAGTGCTTACTGTGGGGAAGAGGCACAAAAAACCTTCTTGAATGATGAAAAAGTGGGGTAAACAGGTATATGGACTACATTTATTTCTGTATAGTTCACAAATATGTAAATTATACCTCAATTAAAATAAAACAGAGTAAGGAGGGAGGCAAACCCCAAAAGAGCCCAGCCTGTCACTCCATCATCAAGCCACTGGCTGGGTAGAGGAGAACAATGGCCAAATACAGTATTTCTAAATTTTATGAGTTGGAGTCTCACTCTGTCACCCAGACTGGAGTGCAGTGGCCGCTCCCGGCCACCGCAGCCTCAACCTGCTGGGCTCCGGCGATCCTTCCGCCTCAGCCTTCCAAGTAGCCGGAATTACAGGCGCGCGCTACCACGCCCGGCTGATTTTTTGATTAACTGTAGAGATGAGGTCTCGCTGCCCAGGCGGGTCTCGAACCCACGGGCTCAGGCAATCCACTCACCTCAGCCTCCCAAAGGCGCGGGATTACAGGCTGAGCCACCGAGCCCGGCTCACTCTCATTTCTTACAGAGCCACATTCATGCCACCTGGGATGAAATGTATCTGTAAAGCTTGGTTTGTCCAGCATACTTTTCCTTTAAAAACTTAACCAGGATCTCTGAGAAAAGATACCTACCAACAACTCGTTTAATCTGAGCAGCATTTGCTTCTCCTGAAGTTGATTATGGTCACTGTCTTGCTGGCCACCACTGAAAGACCCAATCAGCCACTTGATACAGGACTCCAGAAGGTTCCTTCTCCAGGCACACAGTTCTTCTGCTGACCCTTCCAGAGCTGCTGAAACAGAATCTGCCACCATCCACCTGGAGCAAAAGATGAGAGTTGCAAAGTTAGAGAGAAGGCTTAAATTCCTCTGGCTTTACATAATTCAACACCACAAGGGCCATAAGAACAAATGCCCTGAGTCCTGCTTCTAACACCACCCACTCACAGGCATTCCCAGACTCTTTCTTTTTTTTTTTTGAGTTGGAGTCTCACTCTGTCACCCAGACTGGAGTGCAGTGGCTGCTCCCAGCCACCGCAGCCTCAACCTGCTGGGCTCTGGCGATCCATCTGCCTCAGCCTTCCAGGTAGCTGGAATTACAGGCGCGTGCTACCACGCCCAGCTAATTTTTGATTTATTGTAGAGATAAGGTCTTGCCAAGTTGCCCAGGTGGGTCTCGAACTCGCGGACTCAGGAAATCCATTCACCTCAGCCTCCCAAAGCACGGGATTACAGGCTGAGTCACCAAGCCCGGCTTCCAGACTCTTTCAAAGATAACCAGAGTTTTTACAACCAAGAGAAACAATATTAGCACACCAGAAAAAGGATATGTATAATCAGACTTTGTCTAGACCAGGGAGGATCTCTCAGCCTCAGTGCTACTGGTATCTTGGACGAGATAATTCTAGGCAGAAGCAACACCCGTTAAACCGCAATCATGATAAGGCACCCCTGGCTGAGATCCACTGCTCTCAGGGAAACAGACCCAACCACCCACTTGCAAAGATGTATGCGCTCCAGGCAGGTGGCTGGAAGAAGAGTTCTCACAGGAACTGACTGCTCACTGACAGGCACGACAGTAACAGTGGTTTCTCACTGACTTTATAAATACTAAAAAGAAAAGCAAAGCCATCGAACAAACATGAGCCTTCATACCTCTTGTGACTGCTTGGAGTCTGAAGCAAGCTGGGCAAGCAGTCCATGAGGACACGGAGATCTTTGGTTCTTGCAAACGGGACCAGCTGGGCCAGGATCTCCTGATGCAGCCCAGACTCTGGGGGACCATCAGCACTGAGAAGCTTGTTCTGCAGCTGTCTCCACAGGGCCTTCCTCAAGACAGGAATGACAGTGGAGGACACTAGAGCAAAGACACAAAGAGGGGCCACTGCATGCAAAGGTGGTACTTGTGGCCTTAGTGATGCCACACTGGTGGCCAGAAATTGGCCATGACAGGAATACTCACACCATGAAAACTGGCAAATGCTACAAATCCATCTCTTCTAAGGGTCCTTCCTCTATCTCATCAATCAACACTCTTGACAGACACTCTCTTCAACCCAGTAGATCCTGGGTATATCCCCTAGTTCTAAGTTCATGATAAGACTGAATGCCAATTCACATGGGATTTATTCCTCAAAGGTGTAGAACAGGAAAAATACCTGCTATGGTTGGATATTTTACCCCTTCAAACCTCATACTGAAATCAGGATCCCAATGTTGAAGGTGCTTGGGTCATGAGGGCAGATCCCAAAAGAATGGCTTGGTATAGTCCCTGGGGTAATGAGTGATTTCTCACTCTGATAGTTCCCAAGATAACTGGTTGTTAAAGAAAGCGTGGAACCTCCTGCAGGTTTTCCCTCTTGCTTCCTCTCTCGCCATGTGATCTCTCTGCACAGCCGGCTCTGCTTTGCTTTTTGCCATGAGCGGAATCAGCCTGAAACTCTCATCAGATGCAGAAGCTGACCCCATGCCTCCTGTATAGCCTACAGAACTGTGGCCAATAAACCTCTTTTCTTCATAAATGACCAAGTCTCAGGACCAAGACAGTATCCAAGGAGAGGTACATCAAAAGCCACTGAACACATGCTGTCTTACTTTTTAAAACACGTGTCATCATGGACATAAAGTTATGTAAAACAGAGACAAAGCAGTTAGTGAAAAATCATTCATGCATTTTTTAAAAAAAGGAATTACATTAAATTTGAGATAATCAGAAAATACCTTAGATCTGAAATCTGAAACCCAGCAAGTGGAAAAAGAGAAAGCTGGACCCAAGCAGCCTCAACTCATTATCAACTCACTAACACTGGAGAAAGTGGGATAGGCCAAGGGATGAATTAGTCCTGAATGATTCCTTCAACCTAACAAGACTTAAGATTTGGGCCCCAACTATCACCTACCCATCCCCCAAGCTGCATGTGGGACAACCCAGAATTGATGGGGTACAAAGGGTCAGGACATAGGGAAAGGGATGTGGTGCTGGAGAGGATTTCTCTATCTTTCACAAACTTCGGAACTGGGTCAGGAGGAGAAATAGAACTAATCCCAGAATGTGAAGTTCCAAGGGTTTAAAAATGAACATGAGTTTGCCTTCTAAATCCCTCAAACTGAAATTCCCAGTTGCCCAAAGCCAGCCTTTCCCTCACCTCCTGCTGGGCGAGTGAAATGGCCCTGCATCCTGTACTGGAGATACACGTGGACAAGGGGGAGGAAGTCGTCCAGGTCCCCCTGCAAGTCAAGTCCCGGGCCAGCCTGCAGGCACCAATGCTCAAACCACAGGAGATGGGTGCAGCTCTGCTGGAGGAGCAGGGAGGCGACACCGAGGGCTGCCTGCGTGCGCTGGGCCAGGCAGTAGTCAAGCAGGTCAGCCCTAACTGCGGGGGCCAGCACAGGGTCTCTTTGCAGAGTGTGGAGGAGCACGGTGTCCAGCTCACCCACAGCCAGTGCAGGCAGCAGAGCTCCCAGGCCTCTCACGTACTCGGAGGACCACAAAAGCTCGCCACTCTGCAGCTGATCCTGGGGGCTGCTGGTCAGCAACTGCACCAGCGTCTTCCCGAGGGGGTTCAGCTGTCTCTCTTTCCTGGGGGCCTTGGTGGATCGCTGGGTCACCAAGTGGGCCTCAGGTAGGCTCAGCAGGGCCAGGGTGACCTCACGGAGCTGAGTGCCCTCCATGTACATATGTAGCTCCTGCAAGGCCTCCAGCTGTGGCGGGGTCCTTGGTGGCGATGTGGCTGAGCCTGCCTTCCTGGTTCGCAGCTCTATTAACATGCTTTGGGTGATGGCCTCTGAGTACCTGGCCAGAAGGCCCAGCTGATCGATGTTCTGGAGGATCGGGGCGATCACCATCAGCAGTTGAAGGACCCCTGCACTAATGTGGGTGGCCAGGAGCTTCACGAGGATGGGGCTGAGGGTGTGCGGGGGGAGGGCCTGCCGCTCCAGGGCCAGGAACCAGCTCTCCAGTGTGGGGTGCCTGAGGACGGCCACGAGCACCTCCTCCAGTGTCTGAAATGTAGTGATAAGACACAGATGTCACAAAAGATGACCAGGAAAGGGGTGGCAGCTCTACACAAGTGTTCACTGTTGTTTGTAGAACCTAGCAGAAAGCAGTTTTCCAATCCCATTCCATCCTCAAGCCCTGCATTCCAATGAATCTCTCAGGGGTGCTGATAGCCGAGCCAGACAAAGCTGTCATCCCGTCATAATGTAACAGCCCGACTGCACATCACCTCCCCGTACAGCTGTTGAGCACCATGAGGGCTGGACTATGACTTGGTCAGTGCCCCACCCAGATTCACGAGCATGTGTCTGAAGAATCCAGTCAGTGAATTTATTATGTGGCAAAATTGCTCTCCACGGCTACTCAATGGAGGGGACGGGCCATGCAGAAACACCAATATGAAATTATGATTAATTAGCTACTGGTTTCTCTTTTGCAGTCTTGCACTCCTAAATGAAGCTGGTTGAAGGATGTGGGCATCTCCTGACAACTGGGGTTTAAACGAGACCATGTATCTGAGGAAGGTGAATGGGACTAAACCACTGTGAATGTCCACATTCCTGAACTTTAGGTGATTCTGTCTCCACTGTCAGGAGACTGGGCCCTGAGAAACTAGCTCTGACCCAGCTGAGTATAGACTACTGATCAGAAAGCAGCTGAGCCCCTTTTGCTGGATGGAAGAATAATCTGATTCAGTTGTTCCTTACAGCATTGTTGAACATAATTCCAAGCTAATGAAGCTACACCAGTCCCCAGGAACAGGAATAAACTTTCCTTCTTTATTTACTCTTAAGGGAGAAAAGGAGGAGTCTATGATACTTTTCCACTGAGCCTTGCCAGTTAAACCAGAACATGACTATGTGTCAGGAACATCTTTGCCCCATGTCGTGTTGACTGGCTAATGGGTGGTCTCACCAAAACAAACACCTCCCAGAAAGTCAATATGGAGATCAAAGGAAAAAAGCCACAGATTTCAACTTGATTGTGAAACAAGGAACACAGTGCCTCCTGAACCCAGTGCAACAGGTTACATGGCAAACCTGAAATATTCACTCTGGCCCCAATTTAACAGTCTGCTTCACAAGACTAACAACAGAAGCAAGACTTGTTTTATTCTTCTCAGAGCAGTCTATTTCCTGGGTGTATTTACTGTGAAAAGTTGTATACACTGCCTATCCTTTATTCAACACAGGCTACAGGTGTCTGGAAGGAAAATCCTCACAGTTTCTCAGCAGCTTATCTCAGAGTGAGGGAACACTGCTTGCAGGGAGGGTGGCTGCACAGAGAACAACCAGAAAGAGGAATGAGGAATGCCCAAATTTAACCACGGTTATCTCTGGGGGGGATGGAAGGGGGGGTGTCACGGATGGTTCTCAGTATCTCTCCTGTAGGTTTCTGCATCTGCCTATTTTCCTACAATGATTACATATTTATTTTTAATCAAAAGCGGAGAGAAAGCCACTATCCGTAATGTCATCGGAAAAGGCTAACAGGCTCCCTGGGGAAAAGACAGCAGTACCTGGTCACTGGCCAACTCCAGTGAAGCCACAGACTCCATGTCCAGAAAGAGGTCAGATTCGGCCTGGGCAGCCTCACATTTCTGCCGGTTCTGGATATCGAGCTGCTCACAATGGAGAACCAGGAGTCTGAGGAACTCCAAGAAGAGCTGCAGGAGAGGCAGGCCCACACTTTTGCCCAGCTGTGAGGAGAGAGCACGGCATTCAGCAGGGAAGAAACAGCAGCCACCATGCAGGGACCATGAAGACACTGTGCTATCAGAGACGCAGGGCAGGCAGAAAGGGCAACACCTCCAAATGCAGGGCTTGTAAAATGCCCATCACCTCCAAGTCAGCTCTCAAATAAGAGCTTGTCTTCCTAAATCTTGAGAAAATAAATAGGTTTGTTTTGACTAAAACGAGGGGAGGCCCACCTCAGAACCGAAACTGAAAACCTGAAAACTACGTCACAGACAGAAGATCAACAGTGAACTACTGAATTAATAAACTTATGACAGAAAGAGGGAGGGCTGGCTGACCCAATCTACTGTAGGAAGGGCCCTGTGTTTACCAGGAGCTGCCCTAAGACATGACCTAGCTTCCCATCTGCAGCTGCTGAGGGACATGCAGAATCTGCAACTGAGGTCCGGAGCGAACGGCATTGAAACTATCCCTGTGCAGTGGCTCCAGGAAGCAAGAGTAGCACTGAGCTGGGAGTTAGGCTGCTGGCTGCAGGTGTGCCCTGTGGCCCTGATACCACCAGAAATACTGTCCCTCAGTGTGGGCCCAACTCCATGAAGGTTGAGCTCTCTGGTGGCACGCTCTGGGCACGCGTTGGGGGTTGGGGCTGGAGGGACAGAGTTCACCTTGCTGAAGTTCTCCACGGTGCTCCTGAGGTAGAGCAGCACCTGCTTCACTGCACGCAGGACCTGGGGCATGGGGAGTTGTGGGACAGCAGCCTGCAGCTGCACCTGGACACCCTCGTCCCGGAGGGCTTGGCTCTCATAGGCCACCTGCAGCAGGGTGGTGAAGGAAGAGGCGGAGGAAGGAGCAGAAGACGAGAGGCCGCCTGGTACCTGCAGAGGATGACAGAGGGTGCAAAAGGCCGGGGAAGAGAAGGACATATCAACGCAGATGAAGAGGGTCATAGGCTGGTAACACAGGCACAGGTGACACATACAACAAAGGGGCATTTCACAAGAATCGTGCACTAAAACTAACAAATATGGGACACATGGCATTTTACTTAACAAAATCCCAATAAATTAGTCATACGTATTCTCCTGGAGTGTGTTACTGCTGATAGCATGTGAGGTCTTGAGTCAGGAGGAATCTACACACCGTGGAGGACAGGCACCACAGGCAGGAGCCACATGTGACACAGATAGATCACAGCAGTCACTGTGAGGAATCAACGGAAACTGGGAAATCAGCCCACAGAGGAGCCCACTCTGTGAGCAACTTGTCTTCTAACGGCCCTCGACAGGAGTCTCAGGTAATATCTTCTTGGAAGGGCAAGACAATGGACAAAATGCAGAGTAACTTCTGGAGCTCTTCTGCCTCAAACTGAAGAGTTCATTTCTTCCAACATAATTCCCAAAATGCCTTATTTGCCCTACGTGGCTTACGTTGTTATAACTCTAAACACCCAACTTCCTAAGGTTAAAAAGCCTGAAACTCAGTGGTTCTCAAAGCATGGTCCCCAGACTAGCAGCAGCATCACAGGAAACACGTGAGAAATGCACACTGTTAGGCCCCATCCAGACCTACTGGATCAGACCCTGCACAAGTGAAGCCCAGCAGTGGTATCTGAATGAGCCCTCCAGGGAATTCCAACACACCAAGCATGGTGAGATTTACTATGATTTACTCAACAGGGGGTGGACACATACTTTGAGCACCCACGAGGGGCAGCATGGAACGTCTAACACCTCCAAGTAAGTCCTGTCTGGCTATAACCTCGGCAAACAGCAGACAGAAGTGGTAACAGCTGTTACAGGCATGGGCTCTGACGTCAGACTCTCCGGGCCAGATCCTGACTTCATCACCAAGTGGTGGTAGAAACCACTCTGTGCCTCAGTTTCTCTATGTGCATAATGGATACTAAGTCCTGACCGACGTCTCATAGTTATGGTAATAATTAAATGGCTAAAGATTCATGCAGTATACTTAGTGTGGAGCCTGGCATGCCCCACAGAAAACATGTAATCAATATTGGCAACTGCTACCACTATTAGAACACAAAGAGGCCCTAAGCTGTCAGCAGTTAAAATGGAATGGATAACCCAAAAACTCATCCTGCAACATTAATTTCTTGCCCCACAGAGCATCTGTAAATATTCTTCATTAGAACCAGAACCCCATTACAAGAATGGAGATCTTACCAAAAGAAAATACTTTTTTGTCTTTTCTTCCCCAGTTTCAGCAGAATGGAGCATGCTGGGGAACTTGAGGGACCAGGTCTGGCAGCAAAGCATGGTTAGTCTAGAGGCATGCTAGGGCCCATTAAACAGTTAGGGACAAGCATGCATAGACTACTTGGTAAGGAAAAAAGGAAGAGGGGTAGCCTCCTGTCCTAAACCAAAACAGTGATCAATTATAATAATTATGGAGCCAGTGGAAGATTTAATTTGGTTGCATCACTGAGTCCTTTGTATTTCAGTTACATAGCTGAGCAGCAGTAATACTATTTAGCATCCTCTCTTGTGCAGGAGAAATTAGGTTAAGAAATTTCCCCCACAGGTTATATGGCTATGCAGCTGCACAGCTGTGTGAAGCCAGCTGCGCCCCAGCAGAAAACCTGCACAGGAGCAGTGATCATAGCTACAGCTGTAGCCACAGCCATGACTCACCCAGGCCTCTCGGGCTTGTTCTGGGATCCAGAGGCTGTAGTATCTGTTAAACCGGGAAAGCTGATGGCAGCAAGGTGGGTATGGAGGCTCAAATTTGTCATAAGCCTGGAGCAGGAGACATAGAGCCAGGGGGTCCCTCTGAGTGTGGAGGAGGTCGGTCAGCACTGCTGTCAGATATGCCACGATGCTTTCCACTGCAAAGGAACAAGATCTGTGTGGGAACAGGACTACCGTTTTGTGACCCAATACAATCTCCTTCCACACCCACGGAAAACCCAGATCTCATACACATTCCATGAGGGGTCACATAAGTACATGGGAAGAAGACGCTGCTGTTAGACTGAACCAGGCTCTATTTTATAAAATATACAGCACATGATCAGCTACCAGGCCAAGGTCAGAAGTAGAAATCGAGGTGTGTAAGAAGCAAGGCAAAAGCCACCTGGAACCACCACCCATTAGAGAACAACATTACATCTACTCTGCCCTGGCAAACAAGTGTCTCTTGCAGGCAGGCTGGGATTACATGCCTGGTTTAGGCACTTCCAAGCCATAATGTCCCCTTCCTGATTGTCTACTCTCTCTTCTCCCTGCCCAGTGATCCTGGAAACCAAGTTTTGGAAGGCACAGCTGCACAATGAAAGCAGCTTAGACCCCTGAGCTGATGCCAGAAGATAGTCACCCAGAAGAGCCACCTGGCCCATACTAGATCCTAACAAGGTCAAGACACAGTCCTTCACTCATTAAACTACTGACATGGTAGGGCTTACTTGTTACTGTAGCAAAGCCAGAGCTCTCCTGGCCAATTACACTACTGCAATCTGTGAGCACTTCCTTGTGCCTAAGTTGCTTGGAAAACCCAGCAAGGATGAAGGGCTCATCCTTTGTATCAAGATACCAGAAGGTACATTAAAAACATCAGTGTTACACCTGGTGTCTGTGAAGCCATGCAAACACATTATTGCAGACTCATCCTCAAATGGCCATTTCCCAACAGCCAATCCAGCCTCAGGGTTCTGACCCATGCACTCTTAGCTCTGCCAGCTGGGTGGCTCCTCCTCTGGTGGGTCTGAACTCTTGCTGTCCTGGGCTCTCATCAACCAATTCCAGAACATCTGGAAACCTGCCTCCCATTCTACAGAGACCAATGGCCTGATATAGCCACAATACCCTGTCTATACACAGGTACCTGCTTCATTTTCTGTCCCAAGTAGCAACTTATTCCTGGCTTCCAGGGCCGCAGGGACCACAGCACTAAATGGGAACGTGAGTAGGATCATGTCTTCATTTAATAAGAACCCGATTTCCTCATCCAAGCCTTCGGTGCCCTCCACCAGGACGTCCACCATGTCGAGAACATCTGAGACAAAAAGAAGAGAGCCCAGCTGAGGTCAGAGCCACCAAAGCGTTCCAGAGAATATCCCAAAGGAGAAAGGAACAAGAGGACGTATGCAAAAAAAGAAAAAGAAAAAAGCTCTAAATTTCTCTCAGGGAAATGCATAATACAGCTTGATCTTAAATGGATGAAGCCACTGCCTACAAAATCTTTAAGATCTTTGTCTGACAAAATGCAGGATATTGAGATGAGGTGATGATAAATCAAACTTTCCTCAAGTAACACAAGAAGCCCAGAAACTTTAACCTGGATACTCAGGCAAATAAACCAAAATCTGAGGCAAATTACTATGAGGCTTAAAGTCCAGAGCAAAGTCAGAGTGTCTGGGTTCAAATCCTGACTTTGGCTGGGCATGGTGGCTCACACCAGTAAATTCCAGCACTTTGGGAGGCCAAGATGGGAGAACTGCTTGAGTCCAGGAGTTTGAGACCAGCCTGGGCAATAAGGCAAGACCTCATCTCTACAAAAAATTAGCCAGGTGTGGTAATGCATATTTGTAGTCCCAGCACTTGGGAGGCTGAGGTGGGAGGACAGCTGGAGTCCAGGAGTTTGAAGCTGCAGTTAGCCATGACTGCACCACTGCACTCCAGCCTGGATGACACAGCAAGACCCCAACACACACACATACACACAAACACAAAATCCTGACTTTGAGCTTGAGCAAGCTACTTCACCTCTCTGTGCCTCACCTGCCCTATTTGTAATATATAAAATGAGGATATTGATAACGCCCTCCTCCCTTATGGCTGTTTATGAGGTTTACATAAATTATGATCTGTAGATCTTAGAACAGTGCCTGACACACAGTAATACTCCACAAATAAAAACGACCCTGCAAGTAAGTTCTACACATTTCCTATTACATGAATAAATAAGGGGATTTCATTTCCAGAACAGGCTGATCTTTAATGCAAAGAAACAGGACATCTGCACATTGCCTAGGGTATTAGTGCAATTTCTGTTCTGTCTCTAACATGCGACTGTGGTTCGATCTTCAGACCCCAAGCAGCACAGAAGGGAGTGGTACGTACCATCAATGTGGGAAATGGGAATGCTGACATCGTCAGCATCCTGCTTCATCACAGCAGCCTGCAGTGTGCTCGCTTCCTGGACAAAGTCAGATGCTTTGTCTGTGTATGTATAAGGATGTGCCACCAATGTCAACAAAATCTGAGCATCAAAGATCCAAGTGGGAAACATTTAGATGGTCACAAGTGAAAGGAAGAAAAAAAAGTCATTGGTGAAAATCAAGAGAAGCACTAAAATGTTCAGTGCTTAATAAGAACAATAATTTTTACTGCAAGTTGTTTGGTTTTTTTTAACATTTTTGTTGTGGAATTTAAAAAAAAAGTCTCAGGCTAGTCTTGAACTCGTAGGCTTAAGCAACCTCCCACCTCGGCCTCCCAAAGTGCTGGGATTACAGGTATGAGTCACCATGCTCAGCCCCAGTATTCCATTTTTAATACCGCTTTTAGTATCCTCTTCCTCCCTCATGCTAAAACAAATTCCCGAAAGGAAACTAAATAGCATGCATAAATATATTCCTATTTTACAGATTCTGATGTCCCAGCAAGAATTAGAAGTAAGCCAGGACAAGAAGCCTTTTGGCACCAGTGCATCAAAAATGCCTCAATTACACTAAGGAGCACTGAGCAGAATCATCTCTGAACATGCTCCTATAAGTGGGAATTGTGTGCTTACGCGTTCCAGAAACTGAATCACGGTCTCTCTATTCTCTTCCACAGTGTTATCTAAGTGCTCCAGCCAGAGTTCCAGCTCCTTCCAGGTGTGCTCAAACACCCCCGTATCCCGTAGAATCTGTCAGGAAGTAGGTACCAGGGAAAAGTCAGAACAGAGCTTGCTTCCTCTGGGAGTTAATGTGGTTTCATGAGGCTCCAGCATCACACAGAGACCCAAGGAACACAACAGGGATGGAAGTTTTGTTTTGTTTTGTTTTGTTTTTTTTGAGTTGGAGTCTCACTCTGTTGCCCAGACCGGAGTGCAGTGGCCGCTCCCGGCCACCGTAGCCTCGACCTGCTGGGCTCCGACGATCCTTCCGCCTCAGCCTTCCAAGCAGCCGGAATTACAGGCATGCGCTACCACACCCAGCTGATTTTTTGGCTTATTGTAGAGATGAGGTCTCGCTGCCCAGGCAGGTCTCGAACCCACGGGCTCAGGCAATCCACTCACCTCAGCCTCCCAAAGGCGTGGGATTACAGGCTGAGCCACCGAGCCCGGCGGGATGGAAGTTTAATCCCAGGTTTTCAAAACAACATCCCCACTTTTGAGGTTAACAAGGAAAGGAGATCATTCTGTGCTCCATCAAAGACTACACAGTCCCTTGTTTGCTATGGCTTATTCCTTCTACTAATTTCCTAAATAAAAAGAAGGGAAAGAATTTGGCTGCTACTTAGGAGGTTGGTTTTCAGTCTGGATTTCCACAAAGACCCAAGTAAACATGCAAAACATGTCCCTTCATGAAATTCTCCAAGGCCACAAGCCAGGCACATCTTATCCTCTCAATGCGGCACCTGAAGACTCAGACCTGGGCCAGAAGCAGTCACCATTCCCAACATAACAGAATTTGGCATGAGGCAGGACTTGAATCTGCAGAGGCAATTAGGTGACATCCCCAAATGGCCTGATAACAGAGACTCAGGGTCTAAGAGGCTTCATGGCACAGAGCCTTGCAACAGTGTGCACCAAAGGAAAATGTGACTGTGCCAATCCCATCCATCTGCAGTCAGTAGTCAAGTTCACACCTGCACTACCTGTCAGGTAACCTATGGTGACTCAGATGGTCACTTTCTTCAAGCAGCTCAGGAGAGGTGAAAGTGTAGCACGATTATCAGCACTTCAAATAAAGGTGAAAGGGCAACACTTTGCACCCTAAAAGCAGTAAATGTGATTTTTGTAGCATACTCCAAGATGTTTGTTGCACAGCAGAAATGAGGAAGTAGATTTCCTTCTGCTACAGTAACATCTGATGTCACCCTGGAAACGTGGTGACAAGGATAAGGAAACAAACTCCTCATTCTCCTCCACTGACGACACCCGTGCTGTGGGTGATGACCAGGGCAAAAAGGCTGAAAGTCCTGAATGAGGCCAGAGACTGGGGATGAGAGAGGAGGCATCACCTGCTAAACAGCTCCCCAAAGACCAAAATCTAGTGTTTACTGGGACTACAATGTGCTAGGAATAATGTACTACTTTTATCACATTTAATCTTCTCTGCAAGCCAAAGGTTTTATTATCACCATTCACTATGGGAAAACTAAGTTCAGAGAGGTTAAGTGATTTATCCAATGTACTCAAGTAGTAGAACCAGGATTCAAATCTAGGAAAGGGGTTTCAAAGCCCATGTTTCTTCCAATTCACAATGCCTCTGAGAAATACAACTAAGTTTAAAGCATAATGAATTAAAACTGCCACAGAACCTTCTATTTGAAAATGTATGACAGTCCTAATACCCCTGAATTCAACAACTGTTTACTGAGGACAGTAATAATATTTAGGGACTTATGCATAAGGAAGACTTATGCAAAATGCTTTTCAGAATTTAAAAAAAAATCAGTAGAAATACTCACCTTCAGACGGGCTCGGTGGCTCAGCCTGTAATCCCGCGCCTTTGGGAGGCTGAGGTGAGTGGATTGCCTGAGCCCACGGGTTCGAGATCCGCCTGGGCAGCGAGACCTCATCTCTACAATAAATCAAAAAATCAGCCGGGCATGGTAACGCATGCCTGCAATTCCGGCTACTCGGAAGGCTGAGGCGGAAGGATCGCCGGACCCGCACTCCAGCTCAGATTAGGATCGCCGGACCCGCACTCCAGTCTGGGCGACCGAGTGAGACTCCAACCCAAAAATAAATAAATAAATAAATAAATAAATAAATAAATAAATAAATAAATAAAAGAAATACTCACCTTCATGATCAGAAGTTTGGTTGATGACTTCAGTTGTAAATGGCTACTGGTCACAAACATTTTCATCAATAAGTAAAACACTGATCGTTCACCTCCAATAATTTCTGCATCTGGGCCTTCCTGGATTTGGAACAATATTACATTTAAAACATTTTTTATTTTAACATATAATTATATTACATGTCATAAAAGTAGTAGGGGCCTGCATTTGTTGAGCAAACAGGTACCCTTCTAGGTCCTTTCCCTCACCTTATTTTAACTACAACGTGGCAAAATTACGTGATTTTACATAAGGAATCTGAGAAGTTAGGAAAAACTCACTCAAAACCCCAAAACAGCAGTTGTAGTGATACCACAGAGCACCATGAGGAAGGGCAGGCTTCCTGTGCCAGTGCTGTCCTAGGGTTCTTATGTGTATGACTCCCTTAGTCCTTCCAACAACCCTGTGAGGTGGGTATAGCCGTCATCCTGTTTTACATATGTCCGCTGAGAAGGTACTGCTGTTTACTGGGACCCAAGTTCTGGGAGCCCTGACATAGTCAGTGTGCTGCCTGGCGGGGGCAGCGAAGGAGGGACCCTGAGACTGTCTGACTCCATCAAAGGATGCCCTTGTTGCATTTCATCAGGATGCTGGTGCTAATATAATCGATTACTTATATATAATTTATCCTCCTAAAAAGGCTTTTGGGCTTTAAACACATCTCAGAGAAGTACATGGAGATCCATACCTCCGACCCAAACTGCCGACTTTATTTCACTGTAGCCCTTGGCAATGAGGACAAGCCTGAATATCATAAACTACTGGGGTTAACTCAGGCCATGCTGCAGACGGTGGGACATAGGATGTTAATTTAAATCTTAATACCAGTGCTTTTAAATTAAGAGGTCGCTGTTCACTTCCCAACTAAATCAAGATCCCATTGGCCCAGTTCAGATGGCGTGAAAACCAATCCACAGTGCCACCAGCCTGTCACCTCTCTTGGGTTTGTGGCTATGACTTTACTAGTTTTGAGCAAGTACTTGGTAGCACTGCTGGGTTCCATCCTGGACCCACCACTTCTGGACAGGACTTTGCAGAAGGTTCTAACAATCCGTGCCCAGTTGCCTTGTCTTTAAGTGGTGTGATCCGAGTGGCCATGGAAAGCACTTATGTTCCACTCAGCATGCAGTAAGTTTTCAGAATTACCCTCCACATGATGCAGGAGAACCTCAGAAAGAGGACTTGGGGGAGAATCACACAGATCCCAGAGCCACAGCACTCTTAAGTCCTTCCAGCAATGTTACATGTCAAAATGCCAACATACATTTCCATACTGTTGGGTCATTTCAACAGATAATCAGTTCAGATTAGGAGAAATACTTAGATGATGCTTAATTTTCCCCTTCTTTGCACAGCAGTGGAACAGCATCTTGGGTTTAAATACATAGGTGAATATCTTGCATCCTGAGCCACCCTACATGATTCCACATTATATTCTATAGAACATCCTAGAAGACATTACTAAAGACACAGAAAAAAGACTGTTGGCAATATTTACAGATTCTTCCACCAGTCTCAACTCTCTCCTGACTTGGTATTTACTTCCACTTCTGTCTTAAGTTCTTCTAGGACAATGGCAAAAAGGAGAAGGAATGTAGTATTTTTTTTCCCAAAAGATTTTAAAGTGATGAGAAAAATGTAAAAACACAAAAACTTCCTGCAGCCAGGGATAATACATTTGCAGCAAGGACATGTAAAGTTCCCTATTTTATAAACACAAGCAAATTCCCAGATCTCCTGGTTCACAAGCCTGGCTGCTGCTCTGGGTCGCTCTAAAATGTCCTCAACTCTGGCAGGCTCTGATGCCGCCAGAATTCATCAGGTCAATAAGCCAACAGGCCCAAGAGGGCAGCTAAGGGTAAGAGACCAGAGACCCGCTTCCCACCTGTGCCTTTAACCACAGAAACTTGTTGGCCGGCAGCTCCAGGGCCACCTTCAGCATGTGGTGCTGCAAGATGGGCGGCACCTCCTTGTGGAGGCCCGGCTCAGAGATGACGCCTATGGGCGAGAAGAGGAAAACAGAAAACAGTTAAGCAGAGGTGGGTGCCTAGCCTCTGGCCACAAAGACCAAATAAGGAACTCCTAAGGAACTCCGCATCTAGAAAGAAACAGAGAAGATGTGGGGTTCTGTTGCCATGTCCTGTGCTCACCCTCACTTGGCTGTGCCCAGGCACACCTCGTCTGACATATCCTCCCCATCCCCAGGTTGATTCAAATCCTTCAACAAAATGCCCAAATCCCACTTGTCCAAAGAAGTCCTTCCTTGCCCTGCAGCCACACTGGATCCCACAGCTGGAATTGCTGCACCCACCATGCAGCCTCCAGGCTGGGCTTTGCTAACATCATCCCTTGTTCACCAGATGGCAAGCTTTTTGTGGACAGAGACTGTGGCCACTCGAGCCTGAGGCTGGTTCCTTAAACTCTAGCATGATCTCTGGGTTTCTCCTTTGCCTGGGAAGGACACAGCTGCCAAACACTAAACGGCCACTTTCTACTCAATTTCATATTTCCACAGCAAAGAGAACCTTTCACCTTCAAATAATGAAAAAGTTAATTATAGTTTTTGAAAAGATTTCAATAACCCATATAAATTCCAAGATTGATATTTTTGTTGGTCTTCTTCCATAGGACCAATTACAAAGTCAATTTTATTAGACAAAATTTACCTCAAGGAAGCATGACCAGATAACCATAATGATACTTTTACAAGTCTGAACCTGACTTACTGGGGTAAAACACAAAGTAAATTTAACAGAAGTATCTCTGCATGAAAAGGATGTCCCTTCTGTGGGGCTCTTGTTTCTGCTACACCCTCTGTAACCCTGTGCCCATGAAAAGTGACTTTAGAGTTAATGTCACAAGATCTGATTGGAGATCACCCACGCAAATCCCTCAGCACTCAGAAACCGGCTAGCTTTTTCCTTCTCCACTCTCACTGCTACCAAGTACTCATCTGGTATTCATTAGTCAGGGTGGTGGCCCAGCACATGAGCCAGTGGCCCACCAGCCTTCCTGATGCTAGGCTCCAAGGGACTGAGTTCTGGTTTATCAGCACTTCCTCCATCCCCATTGACAGAAACAGCAGCGGCTTGTCTGCAATCCTTTGAGACCTACCTTTCAGGAGCTTGCTGAAGTCAAAGTTGTACTGTAGGATGACATGGGGGACTACCTTCTGGTAGAGGCATATGACCTGGAGCAGAACAGCTTTCAAAAGAATGGTTTCTGCATCATCTGTACCAAAAAAACAGCCTGAATTAGGAAGCACCCTGGTCCTTGTCCTCAACCTGCAGTGTGACCCCCACGGCAGTCAACTGCATGCAGGACACTAAGGCCATAGGGTGGACTACCCAGTATTTGGATTTAAGGGGCAGTGCAGTAAAAAGATTAAGACTATTCAAAATGCCTGGGTTTGAACCCAGTGAACTGCTGTGCCTTAGACAAGTACAGGTCATTCTATGCTGCTGTGTCCCCATCTGAGCAATAGGGATACACACGGGCCTACCCTGTAGGGCTGCTCTTAAGGGCCATGTGTGATTCAAAGCCCACTGCCTGACCACTCTTCTCTACCTTCAGAGCAGAAGAGAGGCCCTGCCCCTGCCCCAGCCACTGAAGGCCTGAGTACACAGCACTCAGCACTCACATCTTTGGAGACACAGTGCTTTCACAAAGCTGGGGCACATGTCTAATAGACAGCAAAATCCAATCTAATTCTACCCCCTAAGCAAAAAAGGACACGGACACATTCACCAGCCAGAGGGGCCTTGAAACAAAACTTCTCCAGGACCCTCCAGGTAGGAGCTGCCAGTGTCAGCCCAATCCTGGGACACAGCAGAGGCCCCAAGGTCCTCACCGCACAGCTGGGTCTCATGGGCAGCCAGTGGCTTGTCACCTCTTTTCTTCCCTTTCTCGTCATCTTGTTTGGTTTCTTGCTTTTTAAGTGATTGCCAGACCCACACGATAGTGTTTAGGTCTGGCAAAATCTAAAAGGGAAAAAGAAGCAAAAAATTAGTCATATTCAACAATGAAGAGAAACAAATGAACTGATGAACTGAACATACTAGCAAGAAGCAAAAATCAGCGGAGTGGGGGATACAAATCTACATGAGCGTGTAAGGAGGTAACAGAGGGCAGGGTAACAACAGGCAAGCTCTGTTTTGTAGCATAATTTCTAGAACTGTTTTTTGGTGAAAAAACAAGTGCTGATCATTAAAACAAACTCCTTAAGACTCGTTCACCTGAGCAAAATATACTACAAACAAAGAGACACTACACTTCAGGACCAGTTCAGGGGAACTGACCCCCACGACCTGCCTTATTAGTAGAATTAGCCAAGGGAAGGTAGTAAGAGGGGCTTCCAAGCCACTGCATCCCTTCTCACTGGGGCCATAGTGATGTTGGTGTGTGTCTATCCAGCAGTGGGTGAGGGGCAGGGGCACAACCACGGCAGTTGGTGAAACTCAAGATCCCCACTAGAACCAGAGCCCCAGTGGGAGAACACATGTGTTGTCTAAATTCTTATTCTGTACAAGGACTTTCGGGCAATGCTCTAAGAGTGACGTCACTGCCTGTAACCCCAAGCGGCAGAACTTCTCAGCTGGTGCTTGGCACACACATGACAACACTGTCTAATAGGTTGTCCAGCCCTGCAGATACTCACTGGGATCCTCCCTTCTGTGCTTCCACAATGGCCCTTCCACCCGGTGTGCTTACTGGTGAGAGAGGAGATAGCTAGAGAAAAGCTAGGCAGGCAGACAGGGCAGGTCTTCCAGTAGGAATGTAGTGAACTCCAGGCAGGCCTCTCAGGCTGCTACACTCACACTGGAAAACAAGCTCCCTACAAACCTGTCAAGCTAGAGCTTAAGTACTCACTGCTGGGATGGAAAAATAACCAACCAGCCTACTGCCAAGTACCGACCTATCAGATCACCATTGCCTACCTCCTGCCAATTGGCCCTTAGTACTGACCAATCAGCAAAGCTAGTGCTAGCCAATCAGCTTGGTCTTAGAGCTATATAAGTACCAGGTTTCGGCCCCCAGACTGGCAACCCCTTTAGGTCCCCTCCCATTATGGGAGCTTTTCTGTCCTCTCAGTAAATCCTGCTTTCTCACTTTCCCATTGTCCATGTCCCTCATTCCTCCTGGGCATGAGACAAGAACCCCGACTTGAAGAGCTGCAGAGGATGTTCAGAGCTGAAGAGCTACACACCCTGGGGGCTGGCTGGCTAGCCAACTGAGCTGGCAGAATTAGGAGAGCTGTTGGAAGGCGAAACTTCGAAGCTGAGACACTCTGAGGCTAAGCTTGTCAGTCCACTGAATCAGCAACACTCTCAGGGTTTTGCTTGCCAGCCTATCAGAGCCATCACTCCAGGGACTAGGCTTGTCAGCCCACTGAATCAGCAACACTCTCAGGGCTTGGCTTGCCAGCCCATTAGAGTCAACACCTCTGGGGTTAGGCTTACCAGCCCCTCAAGCTGACCCACTCTGGGACTCAGCTGGCCAACCATTGAAGCTGACACTTAAGCCCAGGCTGACCTGAAAAATCCGTATCACTGGTGACGCTGAAAGAAGATCTGTGCCTACCTTGCTCAGGGCTTCTCTGAATAACTGCACAAATTCCTCCATCATTCCAGTCGTGTACACGCCTGAGTCTTGCCAGGCCTCTTTATTCAAGCAGTGGTCAACAGTTTTTAATGCTCTCTTCAAAATGAAGGAAATAAGGGACAAAGCCATGTCCCTCACCGCCTTGCTGTCCAGCTGGAAAGAAAAAAAGTTAAATCTACAAATATCTCTGGGATATGCTGGTGGACACAGATTCCCAAGCCCTGGGCATGGCTGGCCCTTGCCGCTTCTCGGTCATGCCTAGGGAAAGCCACTGAGACAGCCAGTGTCCACACTGTGAGAAGGGGTGATCAGGGGCCTCGCCCTTCTGATGTCCTCCACATCTGACCTCAGCAGTTGCTAGGAAAATGGCCACTAACGGTAGAATCCAATAGTGGTTTTGTTTTTATCCTCTGGTTTTCAGTAAGCCTTCTCTGACAACCACTTAGCTAATGTGGATGATCTCCATGAACAACAGCAATATCTCACCAGGCCAACCCCAGCACAATTAAAAGCATCAGCATCAGGTGGAGGGATGGCAAGGCACTTAAGTATGAAGAATCACCTCCAAGCTCAGCAAGCGAGCAGCCCACATCCCAGGCCTCAGGTGTCCAGAGATCCCTACTTCTATTCAGAATGACACCCAGAAGGGTCACTCACTGGAGACTGAGCAGGGTTCAAGAACCTGCACTATCACCAAAAAGAGTCCAGGTGCTGGCTGGTCAGTGTCTGTGGGCTAGCAGCAGTGATGACACCTCCTGGCACTTGGTAGACACAGACCCCCAGGTCCTAGCCCAGACTAACACCAGCAGAATCTCCATCTTCACAAGACCTCCCAGAAAATCCCACCTGGGAGACCCGGCTGAGACACTGTAGATTTACAGTGTGGTAAACACAAACATGTGTCCTGATTTCAGTTTAATAACCATAACACCCCAGTGTCCCAGCATTCCAATTAGGTGTAGTTTCACTTTTGTTTGTACACTGTCCACTAAAGCCTATGAACAGGCCTAAGCCAATAATGACTCTAACTCCGCAATTACGTCAAAGACAGGCCCCAAGCAAGCATTCACAGGCACCCGAAAGGCTTGCAGCACAAACCAACAGCCTGGGACCTGCTTCCAAACACCTTCTCATTTCCCATTTCTAAAATAAGCTAACTCTTCTAATACTAAAACATATGTTATGAAAAGCTTTTTAGACAGTACCATAAGGAATATTTTTTAAAAAACAAGCTGGGCTCGGTGGTTCAGCCTGTAATCTCACGCTTTGGGAGACTGAGGTGAGTGAATTGCCTGAGCCCGCGGGTTCGAGACCTGCCTGGGCAATTTGGCGAGACTTCATCTCTATAATAAATCAAAAAATCAGCCGGGGATGGTAGCACATGCCTATAATTCCAGCTACTCAGAAGGCTGAGGAGGATGCTGGAGCCCAGCAGGTTGAGGCTGCAGGGGCCGGGAGTGGCCACTGCACTCCAGTCTGGGTGACAGAGTGAGACTCCAACTCAAAAAAAAAACAAAAACAAAAAAAACAAAAAACCCCTCCAAGCCCCAGCCCCTAGGTGCACTTGTGTCACTGGGTGCCACTACTCATAAGAAAACATGGTATCAGAAAGGGCACTATAGTGGGGAGGCAATGCTAGGCTTGGTGGCCCTGGTCCTGCACAGGATGGCAGCTGCCAACAGGAGAGGAAGCCGTGTACTCTCTCACTCTTTGTAGCCACTCTGACCAGAGAACAGAATACCTCTCTCGAGGCACAATCCTTAGGTTCTGAAACACTGTGAGAAGAGAGACAACCTTCATCTCCTAGACTGCAGGAGCAAGCCAGGAGGAGAGTCCAAATGTGTAGATACAGTCCAGGCAGGGGATGTATACATACAAGTATTAATTTCAATGTGATTTTCCTGTAAGCCCCTTGGGAAATACTAACATCTCCCACATTAATTAGAACAGATGGGCAAGCTAGCTGGGTCCTAATTTTGAGTATGATGATTTGGCAAACACAAAAGAGACCTTTCTGCCTAGTCCCACCCAGGCCTCCTTCTCGCCCCTCCTACCCACTGCCCATGCTCAGCACAAACTCTGCACGGGCATCAAAAAAGTGCTACTTTAACCGCACAGTCTCAGGAGTCTACCCCTGAGAAGTAGGAGTCACTTTACATGACAGTACTTACCACCACGAGGCCCAGCCCATACCTGTGCGACCCACCATGGTCAACCCTGTTTTTACAGATACCACCGAACAACTCAACCTGCCTGGAAGGATGCAAATACCCCTGTGAATACCTGGCTCCTCCCCAGGTGGGTCCCAGGCAACCCGGGCTTTGGAGCTGGTAGGACAAAGGACCCAGGTGTGCCAACTCAAGCCATTCACTTAAGCCTATTATGCTATGGTGAAAGATACATGAACCCCCTCAAAATGTGGCTTCTGATGGGAATCAGGGAACCTTTATAATAAATAAATAATGTGAAATTTAAGTCTCCATTTTTTTTCATAAACATGTCCTTCAATAATGTCTGAAAATAGCTGGACCTCAAAGTAAATGTTCTCCAGACATCTTCACACCATCCATTAAACCACAAAATAAAGGGTTTGCGAAGCAAGTTTCAGTCCTACCCTATCTTGAAATTCTAAACTAATGAGATTTTAATAATTGAAGGTTCCTTCCTCTGACTCTGACATTCTCCAACCCTCAGGCAGACTAGAAAGGCTTGGAAGAAACCCAGGGTCCCCCCAGTGTGATGGAGCAGAGCAAAACATGAAGTCAGTTGCCACCTGGAAGGAGTGTGTCTCTGCTCTAAGGCGAGTGGACCTTACCCAGTGTCCTTACCCAGGCGAGTGGACCTGTCACTCATGGACTATTTCAAACTACAGCCTCTATCCTGAAAACCTCAGAGGCTCACTGACAAAACACACTCAAATGCATGCAAGTTGGTATTCTCAGAACAATCATATCACATGGCCAGGAGAAAGTTTAGCAGGAGAAAGTTCTGGAGGTGTGGCAACCACATGACCTTACATTTAATGCCTGAGTGAACATGATCTTATTGCACACCAGGGGCACAGTGGTCACCATCACCATCGCTAGGAGCCGAGGCAAGGGGATAAATTCTCTGGTCTGAAACGCCCGGGAAATCTCTGGCTGGGCCTCATAGATCTAGGAAAAGGAGAAACGAGATTTAGTTGGTGTTCAAAATAAGTTTCCATCCTGAGGTTAGTTGCAGACACCCAACAGTGAGGCCATTTCAGTCATGTCACTATAGCAATAAAGGTCCAAGATTCACCACAAGGCTCAGCACAAACCCTGCATGGGTATCAAAAAATGACTACTCCCACTATACAGTCTAAGGAGTCTGGGAGATTAATTCCCAATCCACTTGTCTAAGACAAGGCAGGTCACCAGACTGGCTGTTAGCAGAGCTGTGACCTTCAAAGCAGAGCTTGGCCTATAATCTGAGGAGTTTCTTAAAACCTCTGATGACAAAGAAATTGCTGCTAGAACTCCTACCGGTAATACTCATCAGATACTGCTGCACTTGACAGGCACCTGACAAATCATGCCATCTTTTTAAAGCTTCATGACAAACCTGTGGGGTAGGAACACTTTACATTAAAAATAAAACATCGCCAGGCTCGGTGGCTCAGCCTGTAATCCCGCGCCTTTGGGAGGCTGAGGTGAGTGGATTGCCTGAGCCCGCA